AGCCTCTATAATTATGCTCTTTTTACTCGTCACACTGATACTGACATCAATATTCTACTACTTTATGTTGATGATACGATCATTACCGGTGATGTTAATTCTGGTATTCATGAGCTTAAGCAGTTTCTGTGTCAGCATTTTGATATGAAAGACCTTAGTTCTCTTAGCTACTTCTTCGGCTTAGAGGTGTCCCCTACCTCTGATGGCTACTCTTTGACCCAAGCTAAGTATTCTGATCTTCTCACCCTTGCTAGTCTCACAGATTGTAACATAGCTAATAGTCCGCTGGTGCCCAACATCAAACTTCGTCCTACTGATGGGAAGCTCCTTCCTAATGCCACTTGTTACTGACAGTTTGTTGGGAGCTTGATTTATCTCACTGTCATTAGACTAGACATTGCCTATGCAGTGCATCTTGTTGGCTAATTTATGTTAGCTCCTCGTTCCATTCACTATGCAGCTGTTCTTCGTATCTTACGCTATGTAAAGGAAACATTATTTCATGGGCTTCACTTTTCCTCTCACTCATCCTCGACGTTGAAGGTTTACTCTTATGCTGATTGGGCAGGGGACCCTACTGATCATCGATTTACCACTGGTTTTCTTTTTCTACTTGGTGACTCCCTTATCTCTTGACGGAGCAAAAAGTAGACCATTGTTGCTCGCTCTAACACTGAGGCTGCGTATCGAGCCCTTGCTGACACTACTTCTGAACTTCTTTGGCTTCTCCAAGATATGGGTGTTCCTCAGCCCTCTAGCACTCCGTTTTATTGTAATAATCATAGTGCTGTCCAGATTGCTCATAACGATGTATTTCATGAACGCACAAAACACATTGAGATTGACTGTCATTTTGTGCGTCATCATCTTCAAAAAGGGACACTTCGCCTCTTGCCAGTTCCTTCGGCTGATCAGTTGGCTAATATCTTTACAAAGGCTCATCCACCTGGTCGCCATCGTTCTTTGATTTGCAAACTTCAATTGGCATTTTCAATACCACCTTAAGTTTGAGGGGGGATGTCAACATATCTCCCTAATTATATTGATTGACCAATCTCCATGATTTGATCAATCTCCAAGATTTGTGTAATTATATAATTAGAGCATGATTTGTGTAATTAGCATTAATTACTTACCTTATGTGCTTGCCTCTTTCATCTATAAAAGGAGGGCTCTTGTACAGTTTTATTTATCACAGAATACAAAAGTTATTCACAATTCTTCCTCTATTATCTTAGTTTCAACAATTCACATAAGCATATTTGGGGATTTTTCTCTCATTTTCGATAATATGAAGATTGTTGGGATTGTTTTCTCCAAAGTTCAAACATAAGAGATCTGCTATCCATGAAAACGAGGACAAAACCATCCTTCTCTTTCAATGTTATCTCTGCTAGAAGAATGGCTCAAGCATCAAAATGTTGTCTTATTTTCAGTTCTAGATCTTGCTTTGTGTTGGACCTTTTACTTAAAAAACGATTGACTTGGCTAAAGTGAGGCAAGGCTTGTAGCATTTGTTGGAAGATGAAGTCCCTCCTACAGCCTTGATTGAATCTTTACCTATTTTTGCCAAAAAATCTACCATATTGTCATCACTAAATCTGAAGATTTCGATCTATGGCATTATAGACGAGGACACCTTTCAGATTCTAGGTTAAGTTTACTAAGTTTTGATAATGTATCCAAACTTAAAAGTACAAAGAAACCAAGTTCTATCTGTCTTTTAGCCAAAATTGCATTAACTGCCATTCAGTGTTAGTCTATACGCATTAGAAAACTATTTTGAACTTGTTCATTGTGACAAGTGGGGACCTTGTAATGAAATTGCTTTTTCTCACTATTGTTGATGATTTTAGCAGATACTTGGATTTACATGCTCAAACTTAAATCTAAAGCCTTTAGTGCTCTATAAATCTTTTGTACATTGATAGAAACCCAATTTGAAGTAAAAATTATAATTATTAGAAGAGATAATGGTTGAGAGATTGATATGAAAGAATTTTACCCAAAGAAGGGTATCATACATCAAAAGACTTGTGTTGGGACACTACAACAAAATGTCATAGTTGAAAGAAAGCACCAATATATCCTACATGTGGCTAGAGCCCTAAAATTTCAAAGTGGAATTCCAATGAGACATTGGAATGATTGTTTTCTACTGCAGTATTTCTTATAAACAAGAAACCTACTCCTCTTCTCGGCGAACGCCCTTTGAACTTCTGTTTAAAGCCAAACCTTCTTACTTCCATCCTAGAGTTTTCGAATGTCTTGCTTTTGCATCCACTCTCACACATAAGAGACACAAGTTTGATCTAAGAATGAGATAGCGTTTTATTCTAGGTTATCCTTTTGGAATCAAAGGTTAAAAGCTGCTGGACCTTGGATCAAATAAGATTTTCATTTCTAGAAATGATGTTTTTTATGAAAATATTTTTCCTTACAAAGGTCATAACATAGAACCTGAACACACTCTTCCAAGTCCAAGTGATTTAGCTTATTCTCATCCAACAAATGTTGATTTAAACTAACCTCTCAATCAAACTTCTCAGTCTTTGATAGAATCTGCAGAGAATATGGACAAACCATTTGATTCCCCCAAAGCACCTCCATAACTCCTCATCTACCTCACATGTCCACTAGAAGCAGGAGAGCTCCTTCATGCTTGTAGGACTTAGTATGTCTGCAGGCCTCCTCACCATCCCATTCACAAGAGTTGAACAGACGAAAAATTCTGCTACTCTAGGTATTCCTTTTTCTTTTATGTGCTAGCTTATATCATATCACAAATTATCTGACTCACATAAAGCCTTTGTTACTCTTAGCTCTACACACACTGAACCTAACTGTTAAATGTCGTGAATGGATAAATGCCATCCATGCAGACGAAAAAGCTCTAGAGTTAAATGACACTTGGGTTGTGACAGACTAGCCTCTTGGAAAAGTAGCTATATGTAGTAAGTGGGTTTACAAAATTAAGTTTAATGCATATGGGACAGTTGAGAGTTACAAAGTTTAACTACTAGCAAAAGGATATATGCAACTAGAGGGTCTAGATTACCGCAAAACATTTTCACCTGTGCAGAAAATGGTGACTATGAGAATTTTGCTTGTTGTGGCAGCAATCAAAGGCTGGTATTTGCATCAATTTGATATGAACAAATGCTTTTTTACATGGAGATTTATATGAGGAAGTTTATATGGAACTACCATAGGCTATTCTACAAGTGATTAGCCAAAAGTTTGTATAGATTAAAGCAGGCCTCTCGATAATGGTACTCAAAGTTGTCTTCTGTTATCTTTAGCAAGGATTCTATTAATCTAAGTTAGACTGTATTTTGTTCACAAGAACTGTTTTATGGCTATATTAGTGCATGTTGATGATGTTATAGTGGCTGGTAACAATATGGAAATCATTCATTCTTTTAAAAACTCATTTGATGACAAATTCAAAATCAAAGACTTGGGTGCTCTCAAAATATTTTCTTGGCATAGAGGTGTGAGATCTAACAGGGAAAATCATAATTGTCCAAGAAAATATGCATTGGATATCTTGGCTAACTCAGGGTAACTAGGGAAGTACTTATCAAGGTTCCTTTAGATCAAAATGTCACGAATTCTTAAGATCAAGGAGAACTCTTATCAAACCCTTCCATCTATAGAAGAGTCATTGGGAGATTACTTTATTTAACTATCACAAGATCTAATTTGGCCTACTCGGTGCAATTGTTTAGTCAATACATGCGAAGTCCTAGAATACCCCTTTCAAATGATGCTCAAAAGTGCTGAGATACATGCATAAAGGCACCAAGTCAAGGCTGCTATTTCCTTCACATAAGACCAGCAATTTAGGGCCTACAGTGACTCGAATTGGAGGGGTGTGTTTGGACACACAAAAGTCAGTAATAGCATACTGTGTTTTTATTGGTACCTTTTTGGTGTCTTGAAAATCAAAGAAACAAAACACTATTTCTAGATCATTAATAGAAGCTGAACATAAAGCCATGGCCCACATTGTTGCGAATTGTCATAGCTTCGACACTTGCTACATATTCTACATGTCACTCTCAAGCAACCTTTCTATCTTGTGACAATCAAGTCCGCTTTGCATATATGTATTTTCGAAGTTTTCAACAAAAATATTAGTTTCAAAATCATAATTATATAATGTAGATAGCACCGTAACTTAAATCTTATCTAAATCTTTATCGGATAAGACATTTCTAACTTTTTTATATAGATAAAGTTATTTAAAAACTTAAAACAAAAGTCTTTAAAAAAATTAAAAAAGTTAAGAAACTGTAGTCAAATAAAAAATTTTCAAAAAAAGGGAAAAAAATTAAATAAATAAAACCTGCCCGAGCACGCACTTAATTCACACTTACCATCAAAATAGAGCATTTGCCCATGTCTTGCACATAGGCACACTTTTTAGAACCTTAAAAAACAAAGAAGGCAATGGGGCTAATATCCCCTTTTTCTTCACTTCATTTTCTCTCTCTGACGTGCCTAAAAAAGACGTAGTTCTTACCAAAAAATAAATAAATATATAAGAAATAAAAAGTCGTAGAAAACATTTTTTTATCAATTGCATCACTCTTCGTAGCATACAAGAACAATTATCAATCCATTGAAGTGTCAATCCTCACAAAAAAACACTCTTCTTTTTACTTTTATATAAATTGTTCAAATCAAAACTCCAAATTTCAAAAACGAGTTGATTTTAAGATTCAGCACTTGAAGAATAAACATTCAATTCAAGACCAAGCTCAAGTAAAATCAAGTAAAAAATTAAAAAGAGTAAGTAAAGTGATGACCATCCAAGTAATACCTTATCTTACTCCAACGTCCACACAATTGAAAGAAATCGTGTCAACACATTCAGATAAACAGGGAGAGGGGCGGAGACAAACATCAAAGATACAACACAGATTGCAAAACTTCTATATTAGCTAAACTGGTGTGCAAATACAATTTTGAAAAATTCAAACTTCACAAACATCTATAAGTGGTAAATTTGAAGGATTCGAGCATTTCAACCAAATTTTGAACTCTTGACACATAAATTATTCAAGTGATAACAAAGATTTTACGTTAAAGACACTCCTTCAAGAATAAATTACAGACAAAAGATGCGGAAGACAACAGTTCTATATGAGAGAATCAAAATGGCACCACAACAAACCTCAATAAATTGAAAAATTAAAAATGAAAATGAAAAGCCACCCCTCAATCATTTTAAAAGGGAAAAGAAACAGAAGCAAGAAACCAGATAAAAATAAATGTGAAAATTTCAAAATTCCCTTTTCCAGTTATCCTCCAGAGTGGGAGACGGGCGTAGTTACAAAATGGCCATCCTTGTATGCATGCACGTATTGCTGCGGTAAAGAATGCTCCACCTGCCAAAAAAAATAAAATTCATGTACTTAAAATGACCCTAACAAGAAAAAATTTAGGCTTTATTGTAGAATAAGAAGCGTCAGCAAAAATGGGACTGAAACATACCCAGTCGCTATCAGGCCCAGAGCCAGGTACCAACACGTTGATTTCACTTGACTTAGCTGTGGTTACAGAAGCCTCCAAAGAATCTTTACTCAGGTACAATTGGCAACCTGCTGTATTGTCCACCGATATGGTAGGAGCCGAGCCCTGAAAAGGCCAACGTGCCAAAAAAGAAAAGAATATTTGACTATAACTGAAATTTATTTATATTTTTAGCATTCGCCTTGGGTTTCGGCATACAAACCTTCAAGCCAGGGTGTCTCTTAATTGCATCGCACAATGTATCATTTGATAATCTCCCAAAATCATCCAACTTAAGTTCATAAAAATTTCAAAAGAAGGAATTCCAAAGACGTATATGCCTAGATAGATCTCAACAACACGTCCAATAAGAACCTAAGAGTGCATTTGATTTGTCATTTTAAGGCCATATTCAGTTTTCAATTTTCGAAAACACTCAAAACATATTTGATATGATATTTTCAAAAAACTCAAAACAATTTTTTGACGTTTTGAGTGTTTTCATAAACACTCAAAAAACTCAAAACAAGGAAAATAAGCTTAAAAATTTTTCAAATTAAAATAATTAATAAAATCACACAAAACTTATCCAAATACAAATACTCCTCTCCCTCTCTCTCTTCCCGTGCTCCTTCAAAATATCATAAAATTATTTCTAAAGTTTTTAAATCAAACGCGTTTTCTAATTTTTTTTTTTTTTTTTGCTTTGAGAAACAGTCTTTTTTTTTTCAGAATGAAAAACAACTTTTTCTGTAACCTTAAAATAATCCCTCAAAACAGAAAATAAAAAATGAATTCAAAACCAAAAATAGAAACGCAAACCAAACGCACCCTAAACAATGATACTTCTGCCAGTTGATTTATGACTCTCAACATTCGGCGCATATAACTCTCCCACAATCACCTCAAATTGGTCAAAATATGCGGAATTTCTTACTTTTTGTGGAGGGTTAGATCGAGTTGTTCCTAGCTAATTTCTTTAGTTTAAGTTAAATTATAACTGAGATGTAATAGAATGTCTCCCATTGGCCCCACCACAGAGAGGCTAGGGTTACTGCTTCCCTTCCCATAACATGACGGGGGTAAAGGAGAAAGACACGAGAGAGGCACCATGTGACTAACGAGAAAAACTACCTGGCATTGCACCTCAACGCCGCTGCAATTGACAACCTCACAAGCTGCCACAACATCCTGGTCAGAAATTTAAAAAACAAAAACACATGAGCAGACATGATATATGGAACTCATAATTCAAAAAAACTGCACTGCCTCGAAATAACAATTTGGTCACTGACCGTAAATACAACCCCCATCTTGGTGCACTTGTCTACAGTAATGTTGTTCACCTTACCTGCACAATATTAAGAGCCTGTTTGAGCCCTATTTTTGGCTAAGAATGCATTTAGGAATAATAGATTGATGGAGAATGAGTGGTTAAAAAATAAGGAAAAGTTTTGGGTTTGCGAGTAATATTATTTTATTGAAGAAAATGTGGTTGAAAAGAAGAGACAAATGTATTTTGGAAATAATGGGGATTAAAAAAGGGCCAAGTGGATGTTAAGAATGCCTAAATGCATGTAATTGCAACCTGACTCCACACAGGTTACTGATTGGAGGCTGACTTTAAATTTGAAGAGAAGAACCTAAAATAGAAAATGTAGATATACCTTGGATCTGTAGAACAGAATCTTTGCAACCAAAAACATACACGGACTGTTTTGCATCACAATCATCAATTACTAAATTCTTCTTTCCAATTTGATTCTCGACCACCCATCTGCAACCAATATAATGCTAAATTATGGATCTCAAACCTAACATCATGTACCTATCTGGAAGGATCACTTCTACTCACTTACGACCCATTTGAAGCTCCAATTTTGGGGGCCCTGTCTTTGAAAAAGACGGTGAGCTAGTGCGACCTTCTTTCTCACCAGCACTAACAAAGCCAGTCTTGTCCACACGGTTTTTCACCTTCATATCATCAGTGACTTTCCTCAATCCTAGAAAGGAAAATAAGAAATAATTATAACAAAAACCCTATATAATCTGGGATAGCTTGAAGGGGCAATCGGAACAAAACAATTACCAGAAGTTACTGACTGTCCAGAATTAATTTCGTGAAAAACAGCAGCCATCCCTTCTTTCGGGCGCGATGATGAAGGCTGATGAGTTTCAGAATAGAATAGCTTAGCAGGTGGAGGGGGAGGTGCAGGACCACCTGGCTTAGAAACTTTCGGTGGAGCTGATGCTGTTGTTTTTCCAGTGGCACTCCATATAGGGCCCAATGGATAGTGACTCTTTACATAATCCCTCAATCCTGGTACATAAAGCTCCTTTAAAGCCTTTGCCCACTCAACATGATTAGCATCTTTGTTTCTGTACTCCACAAGAATCTAGATAAATAAGGAAGATAAAATTTTAGAACCTAAAAACTGAAATTATTCCAAAAAATAAATATGGTAGTACTAAAATAAAAAATGGAAAACATGGAAATTCAGAGTCATCAAAGGGCTGTCTATATTTTCAATAGGGACATATGACTTAAAATGCATCATAAATTAGGAAAGTACATGCAATTGCAATTGCGCATGTTTGGGGTGTGGGGCTGGCTGGAGGCCATTGATATCAAGGCAATGACAGATTAAATGCACCATTACCCTAGGTTGGACCGCCATTTACTGGACCTAATAGCTTGATTATAAATAAAACCATGATCAGCATGAGAAGCAAATCATTTTTCAGTACGAAACATGAATTAGTACTTATTGAAGCCCAATTACAACTGTCAACAATACAAGGAATCTTCTCATATCAAGAAAACTTAAAGAAAGTCGAGAACATAACGTATCTTTCTAACTGCAAAAAAAGAAGAAAAATGTATGTCTTAAATCCACGATTACGCTAAAACTTAGCTCCTGTGAAGCAAGGATATGCTTCCTAAGTGTAGTGTCGGTGTTCACATGTTCAATCACCACACTCTTTTTTTTCTTTTTCTTTTTCTTTTTTTTTTTAATTTACACCCCCTGGCCCATGTCCTGCATTGTTTTATTTTATTTTTCTCAATTTTTGACAGGTGAGGAACATCAAGGACACAGCAACCTCCATTTTGAAAATTTTGGAAGATGAAACTAAAAAACTCTTTAAATAGAAATTTTTGCGTAAAAAAGTCACAAAAATGTGAAGGGGGAAAAAAAAAAAAAAAAAAAAGTCGTACAAACTTCAT